GTACCACTGGCACATTATTTAAGAGAACCTATTGGCTACTTCTCCTCCGTCTCGTACCTTCAGCGTGCAGAGGAAAGGTCTGCAGGGACAGCAGTTTCACTGCTTCGAGAGCGTTCAAGTAAAAGGCCGTGCTGGAAGCCGCTCCAGCTACTGCACAGAGGAGATGCACAAACTTGGTGCAGAGAGGAAAAGGTTTTATACATATATAGGTATACATATGGGAAGACGTATGTGTGCATACACACTATGAGGTTTTTTTTACACACCTATATACTACATACTAGGCTCCTTTGTTACCCTTTAGCAAAACAGACTCAAAGTCTAAGAGCTTAGGTGCACAATACGCACGCATTTGCCAGAACACAAATAATTTTTACCCTGAATTGCACAAATATTGACAAAAAAAGAAGTAATTTTTCTATGCATTTTCGGACACCAGGAGGGCTTAGAAGCTAGACATAATTCACACAGCAAGACTGCCAATATTCCAAAAATCACTCTTTGTATTGAATATGCAGTTCTCACCACTTACATTCTCCACAATATACAGTTTAGATCAGTATCTTGTTTTAATGTAAGCCTTAGAAGCCATCCCCAAGACCACTTAGACATCAGAAGGAGAAGCATTTAGAAACCATACTTCCTCACATGGCAAACAGCCCACAGGTTAAGACATTCTTGATATTTTAGTAGTTTATGTGTAGCAGCATCACATACTGCAATGCACTTCTTGCCACACCTTCTCTAACCTTCACACATTAGAAGGGAAAGAAAAGCGGCCGATGCGTTCTGCGGCATACCAGCCAGTGCAGCTGGCTCAGAGGTTTGAAATGAGGCAGCGAAGAACAGAAGTCACCTCAGGCTGAGCCTCAAAAGGCTGATGTGCCAGGCAGGTCCCCACCCAGCCTCACCCGGGTAGCACGGCAGCACCCGGTGTTCTTCTGCAGAAAGGCAGGCTGCCGAGCGGGCTCCAGTACCCGGCGTCCCCCACGGCACTTCCACGCGCCAGTACGCAAGGCAGCCGGGGCCTGGGCTGGCGCCATTGCGAGGAACGACGCTGCCGCAGCCCCTACAGCAGGCGCACCCGGCCCGGAAGGCCACCGCGGTCAAGAGGGGCAGACAGACATTGGTAGCCCTATTTTAAAGTCCAAGCCATTTCTGCAGTGTTTTCTAGTGTTAATGCTACTGAATAGCCGTCACCCCAGACATATCTTGAAGGGAAAACAAACAAAGCTTTTCATTTCCCTTCTGGGTCTCTTATGTATAGGCCTATGCATAGGAAGAATCATTTGCTCACGGAACACCCCAGAAAAGCTAAGAGTGGTTAGGGATCAGTTTGGATGTGAATACACAATTCCTGAACCTCTGATTAACTTACTGATGACGCTACATGATTTACATCCCCTTCATGCCTCAGTTTCATTAACTAAAGAGGCAGTAGCAACTTGTATCACAATATTTTTCATATGATCTACACACGCTATCTTTGCGTACATTTTGAAAAATATTAAACAGATTTTTCTGGACTGGAGAATTTAAAATGTTGAGTCCGAAACTTGCTAAGACAAGGGACAGCGGACCTACAAATCCATCACCACTAATTTAAGAACTCAGAATGCATTATGGAAACACACTATTTCAACAGATTATGAAAATACATTGGTGGAATACACTAGAAACTAAAGCAACAAGCTTAAACAAACAGTTGAGATACTTGCTTAGCATTCTATTTCACTTGGCCAACACACAACAAACTTCAGAATGATAGTAATAATATTTCTGTAAGGGAGAGAAATATGCTGTCCTAAACAGATTGCCTGTCCACGTGTTTTTGCTGCCTCAGTGTTATTTTAATACAAGCTGCATGTAGTTGCAAGCAGTTAGAAATAACAGTACGACATGCATTACAGATCTGAGCTGTTTCAAAAGCCAAACATCATACATCATACGTGCTGCCTGTATAATAACTCCCAAACATCACAAAAGCATCTTATCAGGACCAGTCTTTCATGTAAAGACTGCAGAATTCAGTTTCCCAACAGACTAACTTGAAACCAGTATTTTAAATACCCGTGCTACATTTTGTAGCAGTTTAGATTTTCTTTTTGGAGGGGATGGGGGGGACCACCTAACTCAGATATCTTCAAGAGCTCACCTTACCACTTGATCACCGTGAGAGAGATCATTCACAGCCCAGCCTTCCCAATTGCGGAGAATTTCCAGTTAAAAGCATCCTTGCCTCGAGTAGAATTGAATGTCAGACTGTTCATTTAGTCAGGAACCACACACCCAGCATCCACCTCTTCCATAATTTAAAAGGAAACTTCTAAATCTTACATTACGAGAACTGTATTTGCAGGAAAACAGAGACAAGAAAAGCCTCCCTAATTTGTCTACAATTACCTTTAACATTTGAAGGACTGGTGTGAAAAAATCATAAGGAATTGTCAAAGCTGGCTACTGAGCATGCTTTTAGTAGGGTAGCTATGCTACACATGCAGAGTAAATTAAGTCAATTACCTTGAAAAGATTTTATATTGATCCTTTGACTAACAAGTAAGATTAACATCGAAGCAAGATAAACATTAAGAACACAAGCCAGTATGTTTGTCCTTATTATGAAGAGTTCTGTCATGCAGCATACACAGAAGCAAATCATGGTGTAATACTGTTCAATGAACAAGCAAAAATATTAAACATTATGTCATCTTCTATTAAGCAATGAGACAGCTCAAGTTTTAAACAGGATGACAATCGACTAATCTCAAATTAGATTTTCAAATATCACTGTAATAGGAAAGCGCAGGCCAGTCTCAAACTTCTTTTTAGATAAATTACCTTCATTTTTTACATTGACTATTATGCATAGAGTGCAATAAAGAAGTGTCATCTGTCTATCAGGCCATAAAAAAAAAAAAACATCGGCACACTCCAGCCAGATAAGGAAACAAACATTTATTAGAAACTGGTAGTTTTACAGAGCTAAAAAGGTAAACATATGTTTAAGAAACAAAGAATACACAATTGAACACATTCATCGTAAAGGCACATAATGAAAAATTAAATTTGAAAGACCCCATCTTTTCAACATTTGAAAACATCATTACCATAATTTTCAATACTCACAATAGCACTTGCAGACTATAAACAAAATGGAGCAAGTCCAGAAGATAGACACTGCTAAAGTCACCTCTGCATCACACACACACACACTATGTTTGCTCATTGGTCACAGTCAAACAAAATGATTGGGAACTCATCTCATAAATCCCACAAAGATACAAGAATGCTGGCAAAACCAAGAAACACTCAGATCAGAAAGGCATTGTACATATGGATGATTTGGATAGAATGACTTTTTGTTTTTTACAAAGAGTCCAAAGTCCAAGGTTTCCCTAAAGAGAAGGCCAAAAGACACAGCTAAAGCTGCCATTTTCTGAAATCTGATAAAACAACATTTTATAACACAAATTTTATGGAGTTGTTATATATCAGTTTATGGAGAATAAACACCAGCCATGGAAGCACTGAACACAGATTTACATCTGATTGCTGTTTGAAAAAGATGGCCCGAATAGTCTTCTGCATGTGGAACAAGGGAGGTTCAGGCAGTTATCCATGTTTGCTTGCTTATTTGTTTGTTTAAAAGAGACCCTTAATGACCCTACAGGAACAAAGTTCTCCTTCAGTAATCCAATTTCAAGAAGTGGTCTAAGAGCAATTGCTCTCAGAAGGTCAAGATAAGTATAAAGATAATCCCGAATTTACAAAGATTAAGACATTGCAGAAAGCAGAAAAAGAGTAACAAATGAGTTTGGCAGTAATCGTTACTCTATTTCAGTGCTCAGGCCTGAAGGCAACTGAAATGCCGCCCCCCCCCCCCCCCACCCCAAAAAAGGAAGTCACTTTGGAAGTACTTGTATGCAGAAATACCTACTTTCTACATTGAGGAAGTGCTGCTTTGTTTTTTGAGCTGTTTCTCAAGCACTAACAAGTTCTGTGTGCGTGCTTTCCTTGCTTTATTAACATCAATCTGATGGGCACCTGAGATCAGCAGTCCCATTTGGTCACCTGGACAAAATGCTTCGGTATTTTACGATCTGAGTTTCACACACACAGCCAGCCTGCACAGAAGAC